CTTTCTGGGCCGGGCAAAGCTGGGAGCCCAAACTCCAACCCAGATCTCGCCTGTGGTTGGCACTGGAACCATTCCCCACTGCCTCGCACAGGAAGCTGGGCTGGAGGCAGGGGAGCGGCCCCTCCAGCCGCAGTCCCAGCGGGCCGGGTGCTCACCCCTCACCTTATTTTTTAAGTTCACAAACTTAGAGATGATCTTTGTATGATATACATATTAATCATGTGTAAATATGAATAAGATATGTAAAATTTTAAAACATTTATGTCTCTGTCTTCAGTAAGTGAACTCTCTTTTAAAATCTAGTTGTTTTTGTGTGCAGCTTGAAGTACAGATCAGATTTTTTTTTCCAAACAGCTCTAACCAAGTAATTCAGATGCTGCATATATAATCTAATAAATTCTTGAGTATATGTCTCTGTTCTGGAGCTTTCTTCTTTGGTTTCCTTGTCTGTAGGCCCCTGGGAAGGACCTGTCTGCTCCATCACCCTCCGCCTCAGGCAGTGCGAACTGCTGGTGTTTGTTAACAACCAATCTATTTCTTCCTGTACTCTTGTATTGTTTTGAGATTTATTTATTTTTATTGGAAATTCAGATTTTTACAAAAAAAAAGAGACAGATCTTTCCTCCGCTGATTCACTCCCAAGTGACTTACAATGGCCGGAGCTGAGCTGCTCCAAAGCCAGGAGCTTCTTTGGGTCTCCTGTGTGGGTGTAGGTCCCGAGCACTTGGGCCGTCTTCTGCTGCTTTCCCAGGCCACACACAGGCGTGGTGCTGAAAGGGAAGTGGAGCAGTTGGGACACAGGCCGGCACCCACATGGGATCCCAGAGTATGCAAGGCAAGGACTTTGGCTGCTAGGCTATTGCACTGGGCCTACTGTTGTATTTTTAAATGAGTGTGATGTTACAATAAGATGTTATTTTGTTTTAATTTTATGTGTTTGTGCTATTTCTGATAGGGTTTTTTTTTTTTGGCCAATCTGAAGTTTTCAAAATGAAAATCAGAAATAATTTATTAATAAGTTCCTAAAAGCTGTCTGAAAATTTGATTAAAATATTGGTAAATATGACTTAAAAGAAAGAATTGTCACTTTTACAACATTGTTTTATTATCTGCAAGTATATTACGTCTGTATTCTACTTGCTTACTTGTTTTTATTTTACTGTTGTTTTCTTTAGTAGGCATAATCTTCCTCCAAGTTATCCTACTGGAGTTTCTAGGTTTCAAACAGCATTAACTATAGGCAATTATATTGCTGTATTTCCAGCATTTTTTTTTTTTTGCAATGGCCAGAGTTGCTGCACTGAGAAGCAGTGAAAAGAATAAATGTGACCTTTTTAATAAACAATTTAAATAAAGTCTTGGAGACTGGAGGCCCAGGGACAAGGCTCTCTGCTTAGAGCTAGAACAGTGGTGAATGAGGGTAAAAAGGCGGCAGGGCCAGTGGCTCTGCTCCTCTGTGTCTCAGCGCCTTGAACAGCACCTGTCTCCCGTGATTGAAATCAGGGCTGTACACAGGAGGTTACAAGGCCTGAATTAAACCTGATCATAAGTGATAAATGCTGCCTTTGTCAGGAGTCAGACCACACGCAGTTCTCCGCGTGACCAAGCTGCATCGTTGCAGAGGATGACTTCCACCTTAAGGAATTAGTATCTTCCTGAATACGTTATCTCTGAATTCAGATATATTGACCTGGAATTAATGATCCTTCTGCTAAGAGGATGGGGCAATAGTGGCACGTGGATTTGGACTAAAGTCAGAACAAAACAGCCCAAAACTGCTTCACGTACCAGTAATCTCAGTGTTTGACATTTGTGGAATCGGTGTTAATATCAGTCTGATTGTAGCTCAGGTGAATACAGATCCTTTTATACAACCTGGTGAACTGTGTTTATTATGCAGAATCTGGAATAATAAAGTCAGCTCTCCCCTGAAAGTGTACCAGTAAATATTCCTGTTTCCAATTGCTGTGCAAATTTACATTCTTCTTTATATGTCATTTTTATATTCAGTGGCACAGCTTATTTGGCTGATTGAGCTTTGAATAGTAATTATTTGGGAAAAAAGAAAATTGCCAGCAGCCCTCTCAGTAGAGTGGAAAAGAATACAATGGTGTACTTGACTTGTAATATCATTTTTAATCTGATTGTTCTACTCTAAATTTTCTTTGAATGTTTCATAAATATGCTATTTTACAAATGCTCATTCTGTTTTATTGGCACAATTTTTTTTATAGTTGTACTGTTATTGTTCTAGTTTCAGTTTGTTGATTTCTTGCCCTGTCTGACTTTAGGGTTACTTGTTTTAAAATTGAACTATAAAAGTGAAAAATGCGACATAGTTTTGCCTGTGACTCCTAAGGGAAAGGTGTACTGAGGTGTACTGAGCACAGCATTTTGGCCAGCTATTTATTACCAGAATACCTTGGGAAATGAGTACCTTTTAACAAGATAAATTCATACAAACGGATGATTTGCTGAATAATCAAATATCTAATACATTACCCTGTGTTTCTCTTTGATCATAAATCTTCTGGGTTTTTTTTTTTTTAATGTTTCTAGACACTTCAGATCCAATGTAAAGATACAAAAAGTATGACTTAAAAGAAGGAATTGTTTCTGTGTCACATGAGCTCTTCCACACTGCTAGCAACCCAGGGAAGGGAGGTTAGAGTTGTTGGGGGAAGTCAGAGCAGGCACGGGTCAGAAAGTCCAAGATGAAGAGGTCAGATAATCAGAAGACCAATGGCGAGGACCGTAACCTGCCTTTGTCCATTGGTGACTTTGGGGTAGGAGATGTTCATTTTGTGCTAAGTGACTGTCAGTCACGGGCCAGCAGATCCTTCAGTGCCTACAGCTCCCTGAGCCCCACATGCTGCGAGTTATCACCCCATTAATGCTCATGCCTGCATGATTCTGTTTAAGCCGTTGTTTTTCTCCATCTCCCGAGTTCAAGTCCTGTAATGTTCAACCAGAATGTATTTGCGTGCTCCAAAAATTTTTTATTCTCGTTTTCTGTTTTACAATTTTGCAGGCAAAGGGCTTCCTCCCTCTCACCGTCCCACCCTCCACCCCTGCACTCCGTTCTCTTTACCTTCTCCCCTGTGTTTGGTAGTAAAATAATCTACCAGGTGTAGTTTTAACTCCAACTTTCTGCTCTTCACGTGCGTCATGGCACTGTTGGTATAAGCAGTGGTAAAAAGCTTAATATTTTGTTGTCTGGGTATATTTAGAAGTTTCAAAACTTTGCATCACTGTTCGCTTTAACTCCCTGCAAAATAAATGGCTCCCTTCTCTCTGCTTCCATGGTGCTTTCTGCCTACTCCCTGCTAAATCCTCTTTGACCTTGTATTATAGATTGGCTTTAAAAATATATGGGCTCCCTGTGAATGCTAGTTTATCCCAGTATCAAGTATTTGGCAGAAAAAGGTGCTGGATCCATCATCTCATTCAATGTTTACAACGTTGATGTAAACATATTTACTGCTAATGAAGTTGATGTTATTAATAAATCATCCACATTTTATAAACAGGTAAACTGAGCTGAAAAGACCTCACACCTGGCTCAAGGCAAAACTTGAGCCCCAGTATGGATTCATCTACTCTTAAAGGTTTTAAAATGTATTCAAGGACAGGAAGTGAGACAGCCCCTCTCCACTGGCTCACTCTGCACATGTCTGTAAAGCCAGAATCCAAGAACTCAGCAGAGTTCTCCCACGTGGTTGGCAGGAACACGACCAGTGAAGCCATCGCCACCATCTCCCAGGGTCCTCTTTAGCAGGAAGTTGGAAGAAGGAGCCAGAACCAGAAATAAAACCCGGTAACATCTGGGTGGGATGCAGTCATTCTTGACTGCCGGGCTGAAGCCCTGCCCGCCACAGTTCACACCCCCAGCCATTTCGCTGCCGTCTTCACTGCGTGTGCTCTCCAGTCACTACATTTTAAGTGCTTACTGACTGAATGAATAAGAACTCCAGTTCACACAGTTGTTTAGACCAGACTGGTAGGTTCTCCATTGAAAGAGTGAATGCACTATTCATAGTAGTAAAATGTTTCTTACAACCTTCAAAACACAAATTATTCAGTATGTTGCTGATTGGTTTTCAGAGATGTTGGGCTTAGGATAAAAATAGCTTTGATGTCTGAATATAGCTAGCTTTTATAACACAACAGCACATCATCCTGCACAACCGTAACTGAGTTGATTTCCAGGAGTGTGCTGCCCCCTTCCTTCCATTCTTGTTACAAATGTTCTGAGCCATCAGATAAGCTAGTTGGACTTACACTGCACAGCGCTTTGCAGAGTAAGCCATAATGCTTGTACATTCTAAGATGGAGTATAGTAAATTGAGGAAGGGTTAAAACAAGCAAAGGATGTTACGTTTTAAAAATGATTTTTTTTTTTTAGATTTACTTCTTTTTATCTGAAAGGCAGATTCACAGAAAGAGAGAGAGAGACACAAGGTCTTCTATCCACTGATTCACTCACAAGATGGCCCCAACGATCAGAGCCAGGGTGATTCCATCAGTTCAGAGCTGCTTCTTCTGGATCTCCCACAGGTGTGCAACGTCTTGAGGACTTGGGCCATCCTCCACTGCTTTCCCAGGCCACAGGCAAAGAGCTGAAATTGGAAATAGACCAGCCAGAACAGGAACCGGCACCCATATGGGACACTAGCGTCACAGAGCAGAGGATTAACCTGTTGAGCCATGGTGTTGGTCCCAAAAATGTGATTTTCAAAAAAAAGAAAAAAATTCTTAACCTGGTTAAAGAATGCTATAGATTCTATCAATGATTAGTGTTTATGTCAATAAGTATAAAATCTAGTATATCTTAGGTTGCTTTAAGGGTCAAATAATTAATGAGAAAAGAACATTTAATATCTACAAACACTGTGAATGTAAGAAAGTGATTTTCTTTGTTGTCACTGATTTTCCTTTGTATACTTAGTAAATGTGATACTGCTTGAATATTGTAACTGGTTTTCTTTTCTGTTATTTTTCTAGTGTTGTTAGTAACAATACTTGTAGTGGAAGGGATTGCTGTGGCTCAGAAGACCCCAGGTAAAGTACTTACAGTGATAACATTGCATGTTTGGGAGAGGGATGACTTCTTTGAAAGAAATACAGGATTTGTTTACTATTTCCATAATCCTCAGTATCCCGGTGGCCCAAGACTTTTTATTAACCATCAGCCCCAGTTCAGCTGGGTTTAAGAGAAATTCACTGGAGTAATTTTCCAGCATGAAGTCCTGTCCTGATAAGTTTTAAAAATTGGCAACACTAGTTGATCCAGTATAATGTTGATTGTGTCCAAATATTAGGTTCATATTTTCACACTAAGCAAAAATAAAACTCCTATTTCCAATGTTAATGAATTTTCTGATTTAATGAAAGTTCAGATAGTGTAGTTTTGTTTGTTTTAAATTGAAAGACAAAATCAGAGAGAAAGAACTTCATTCCACTGGTTCAGTCTTCAAACTGCCCACAAAAGCCAGGGCTGGGCAGGTGGGAGCCAGGAACCAGGAACTCAGATTGGGTCTTTCAGCTGGGTGTCAGGAGTCAGCAACTTGAACCATCGTCTCCTACCTGCTAGAGTGTGTGCTAGCAAGAAGCTGGAATCCAAGCCAGGACTCAAAGCTGGATGCTGTGATGTGGGATGCAGCTGTCCCAGTTAGGCATCTTACTGCACTAAATGGCTACCCTAACAGTGCGTTTGAGCCAGATTTTTGTTTCAGAGATTAATACATTTCTAGTGCTTATTTTTTTAATTTCATTAAATTACGTATAAGCGTAAGAATCAAAATATACTAGAAGTTTAGTTAAGAATTCATCCTTGATCTTATCCCATTTCTTGATCCAGGAAAATGATTACTTTAACGGATTCTTTTGGTACTTTTTATTTTTAATAACACTTTTCACTGTTACTTGATTGTTTCCATCATAAACATTTAATATTGATTTTTCATCATATAAGATGTGAGTCTAGGTCTTTCACATGCCTACAGTCCATCCCATCTATAATTCTGGTTAGATGAGTATTCAGGATTACATTGTACATGAATTATATCTTTGGGAAACTTTTATTTTTAATTTTTGTTTAAATTTTAGGATTTTTCCGTATTTTCTCTTATTCCTTCTTAGGGATCTCTATTTGGTTGTGGTTCTCTTGTTTTTTGTCTTTTCTGCTGTCTCTTTCAGCTTTATCTTATAGTATGTAAAGCTTTGTAGGGTTTACAGTTGCTGCAACGCTGTTACTCTCCTGTAGGAAGGCCAGCCGAGGACAGTAATACACAAATCGTTGATGTGTCAGTTACAACCACACTGTTACACTCTCCTGTAGGAAAGCCAGCCGTGGACAGTAATACTCAAATGGTGGGCGTGTCAGCTATAGCCACAGGCAGGAGGTGAAATTGGCTCATGGCCATAGTTTGCAACTTTTGCTCTCAAATACTACTTCTTTTTTCCTTTTTGGAAGCTTTCGTTTTTAAAAGGTTTATTGAAAGGAAGAGAAAGAGGCTTATCTTCCATCGCTGGTTCACCACCCAGATAGCTGCAGGTACCGTCTCTGAGCCAAGCTGAAACCAGGGGCTGGGATCTCCATCCTTGTCTCCCACGTGTTTGGCAAGGGCCCAGGATCTTGGGCCATTTTCTGCTGCCTTCCCCAGCACACCAACACAAAACAGGATTGGAAGCAAAGTCTCCAGAAATTGAAGCAGCTTTCCAGTGTGGGATGTAGCTCGATCTTCCGCACCACTGTGTTGGACCCTCTTGTTTACTGGATATATTTTTTTTGTTCATTTTCATTTGGGGAGTATCTTTGTTCTTGTTTTATGAATATAATTTGTTCTCTGTCTCTTTGAGGAGATTATAGTTTTGTTTTTAAAACTCTAAGAGTTTCTTCAAATACTTTGCATTTCCTTCATCCCCCACTGCTCTTTGTTTTGCTTTGCTTTTCATGTTAGACTTCTTCAAATGTCTGATCCTGGAATACCTGCTTGCATTTTGAGAAGGATCATAAAACTGATGGCTACCTACCTGTCTGCTAGTGTGGTAGGGATTGTGACTGCCCTGGCTTTTATTTTGTCTAGTAACCTAAAGTAAGGACACTCTTGAGTCCATATCATTGAGTGATTGAATGTCTTAAAGAACAGTCTTTTTTTCCTGCTTAGAAGCTTTTATTTTAACAAAACGGCCTTCAGAGAGTTCAGCAGGAGGCGGCTGAGAGTAGAGTATCATACAGTCTATTAACATTCACTAATTTCCCTGTTTTCAAGTTGATATTTTCACTCTCAAGTACCTGTAGTTCTCTAATTCAATAGCACTATTTCACCGTCTTCAAAACAGTGTTTCTGGTTTTCTCATATTGTAATAGATCAGAAACATCCTAGACTTATACAAAGCATTGGAAGTGGAACAGATTCTAAATAAATTTCTGGGTGGGCAGTCTCGTGTTTTTAAAAAGCCACTCCACATTCCACTTCCTATTTTAATAGTTGTTACTATTCTACTACTTTGTACGTTAGAATTTAAATCATTAGAAATACTCTTAGTACCCTTGAATTAAAATTTGAGGAAGAAGCAGAGTTGTGTAATTTTAACTGAAATTGCAGTATAATTTTTAATTTTTTAAATTTAAAAGAATTATTTGATTTTGGTGTTAAATATAAAGATGCCATGTCAGAAGTTAATTCCAGAAACCCTTCAATTTACATGTCAAAACAGAATTTTATTGTTTTATATTAAATTTTACCAAATTCTCACATGTAGTTTTCTCCTTGTAGAATACAAACATTTTATTTTCCTGCTCTCTCTGATACAACATTCTTACTCTCTAGCAAATTTTTCCAACAAGCACAGTATATAACCTTACAAGTCCTCCACGTCTATTGTATTTAAATTCACTGTGTTAAAATTTGGCAGAGGTTTTTAGGGAAATAGGTATGTAACATAGAGTGGGTAGCTACATGGAACATTGGAGAGTGAGAAAAATGTTATTCAGTTTTGCTATAATTAATGTATTGAATAATGTTTTCTTTCCTGAGATGGACAAAATATTGGAATCAAGCACAGTCCAGCAACACAGTGTGGCATTTGGATTCGAACCAGCAATGGAGGTCATTTCGCGTCACCAAATTATCCTGATTCGTACCCCCCAAACAAGGAATGTATCTACATCTTGGAAGGTATTTGACCAGTTTCTACCTTTTGTTGAGTATATTTTTTTTTAACCTTTACTTTAAACCAGCTTGGACAAAATGTAAGCTTATAGTGTATTTTGAATTAAATTATCAGAATGATAGGTTTCTCTGTAGGAAACAATTAACAAAGTAATAGTTGCAATTTTACAAGAACTTTATATTTAAAACGCCCTTGATAGAAGACTTAAGTGGCATCCATTAATGGACTTCATGAAATTTTTGCCTACATTAGTGAATTGTTTTTATTTCTGTTTCTTTTTGTATATCATGATACATGCTATCATGAAATAAGCATTAGCTTCTGAACTCATTAATCAGTTGAGTACATTAGCTAATTTAATAAGTATCATATGCCAAAGGGGGAAATTTATTGTAGTTTTACAGAGTAACATTTTTATCATAAAATATAAAATTTATTATGACTTTTATAACAATTCTCATTATAAGCCTTAGTCAGAGACTGCTTTGCTTTTTGTCATTTGTGTCAGCATGTTTATATTCTAATTTGTGTTCCTCTGATTTTGTTATTTTCTAGCTGCTCCACGTCAAAGAATAGAATTGACCTTTGATGAACATTATTATATAGAGCCATCATTTGAATGTCGATTTGATCACTTGGAAATTCGAGATGGACCTTTTGGCTTCTCCCCTCTTATAGATCGTTACTGTGGCATGAAAAGCCCTCCGTTAATTAGATCAACAGGGAGGTTTATGTGGATTAAGTTTAGTTCTGATGAAGAACTTGAAGGACTGGGATTTCGAGCAAAATACTCATTTATTCCAGGTAAATACTAAATTATATTTTTGATTTTGAGTATCTCTGATTTTGGAATCTTAAGATTAGAAAAGATATTTTATCAAGTTAAATAAATATTAAATTATCAAGATTGAAGGCTAAAAATAACAACAGTAAAACTGAGCCATATCACTTTGGTTTTGAAGCATCAAATGTTGCCTTTTGTTCATAGCAATATTAAATACATTGTAAAAATTAATAAGCCAGTTGTCTTTCATAATTCCCCACAAAAGTTATTTTGGTAGGTTTTTCCCATTGGATCTGTTAAACCACTCATTTGATTACTCTAGGAAATATACAGTGATAGAAAACTGCTCTGGACTTGGAGGACTCCGCACCTGTCTGAATGCCTTCTGTGCCATCTAACAGCTGTGAAAGTTCAGTGCAAAGTTGTGCTTGAAATTCACTACTTGCTGTATTAATTTGCTGAGGCTGTCAGAATTAATCTGAAATTTGGTTAAGTTAAGCAAAAAAGCACATATTCTCTGTTCTAGAGGCCAGAAGTCCAAAATATAGTGTGAAGTTAATTTTACTAGGCGTTTTGGAGAGGCTCTGATGCCTCTTAATGCTTTCAGTGCTAGCCAAGATTTCTGAGAGTATGGCCACATCACCATCACAGCAATCTCTTCCTCCGTCTTCTTTTTCTCTTCGTCTCAAAATCTTTAACTTAACCCATTCTGTCCCCAAGTGTTCAATCCTGTGACTGTTCCAACAATATAGCATTTATATAGCTTATAACCATAAGTTATGTATTTACTTCTTAATGTAAGCCTTTATAGGTGATATATATATCACCTATATATATATCACCTATATATATCATATATATATGTATGTATAAATCTGTATAAATGTTCCATTGGCCTCCATTTCTCCCTCAAAGACTTTAGAAAGCTACCCTGTTTCCTTCTCCCTCAGGGGAAAGGTAATGCTAGACTATCCCCATCAGAAGACCTTTCCTGTGACCTCATAGAGGCAGTCTGTACTCAGTTTTCCTCCTGTTTTGTCAGTCTTACTCTGCTCACGCTTGCCTGAAGGCACAGTCCAATATCCATTCATCACCACCAGTTGAAATCAGGTGGATATAATAACCACTTCTCCAATATCAGCCAGTACCCGCTTCAGCCCTAAAGCTCTAAATGGGATACAGTGAACTCTTGGAACTGTCCTATCATTCCCATTTGCAAACCTAATGAAATAATTTGGATATTTGTGTAAGACTTCAGATCCATTCAGCTATGGATACAGGAATAACCTATATTCCTGTATTCCAGTACACCATGATCCCTGATCCCTTGCCCCGTGTTTTCCACTGCCAGTAGTTTTTCAGCTGCTGACTTCTGGTGCCTTTTTGAGTGTGCCGGTAGACTCCAACAAGCTAGTACCTCTTTGCCTTTGCCTAGAAAGAGTGCACTCAGACAGTCCATCCTTAAGGAAATATTTGAAAACTTTATCCTACTTCTCTCAAATCCTTCGGGCTGATCTAGCTTTCCGGTTTAGCACAATACTCTGCTTTTGTGTTTCCTGTCCTAGGAAGCTTGCCTTGCCAATATCATCCACTTACTCTATAATCTGGACTGTTATAAGATTCCAATGGAAAAACTTCAGTTCTGACAGATGTCAGTTAAATTTTGGGGTTACCTCTTGACACCCGTGGATCTAAACATGATCCTACATTTCTTCTAAGCATGTTGGCTTTGCTTCTTCCCTGCACTAAGAACCAAGGTTTATGAAATTTGCAAGTTACTGCCCACACTGACTACTGAATTTTTCCTTGATTTGATGTCTGAGCCTATGCACATTTACTAAAAATCACCTCATCTGATTCCATTCAGTAGCCCTCTAATGGGAAGAAATCTTCTGAAAACACAGTTCACTTTAGTCCTGAGTTCAGGGTAGTGCAATTACCACATCTCGTTCCACTTAGAATGAAAAGTTAAAGTTTCCTGGTATGAAATTCTAGAGTATGAGTGTCCCTTTTTGAGTCCAGGTTCACATGCCAAGCTGAACTCTATTGCCCACACTAGGGCAAGCCTTAATAGCTAAAGAAAAAATTGCTAATCTCTGTATAGACAGTAGGTATTCTTTTCGTAGGCCTCCTGATTTTGGCATGCTGTGAATACAGACTTACTAACTTTCTTGGGATACTGCATAAAGAGTATAGAACATGCCTTTGACCTTTTAAACATAATTCAAGCTCCAAAGGTCCAACTGTCATTGAAATTCAGAGCCAGTGATCTGCTCAGACAGACAAGAGCAAAGGAAATAAGGTAACAGACAACTTCCAGGAGATCTTACATGTCATGGCCTCTGAAGGCTCCCTGATTTTCTGCCATTTCTCAGACCCTTAGCCTATATCCTAGGATAATAAAGGACCAAGTGACTTTATTGATGATCAGAAGAGGAAAGAAGAGTGTTGTTTTGGAGAAAAGGAACATCTTTTTGTAGACCCAAATTCATATCCCATTCTCCCAGTCCACAAAAGGAAATTTAACCCTTAGGAATTCCCCACTGGAATAACTAAATGATGCAGTACAGACAACATTGCTGTTAGGAGACTTGCCCTCTCTGCTCAAATGTCTCCCATTATATTCCCAAGAGTTTATGTGCCCATGGGTCATTTTCCATTGCCAAGTGGCTCTTTTGAGTCTGGGAATTAAGTTTTAGTCAGCTTTCCAAATCATGGAAGTACCTGTATGTGCTCATTACTGTTTGCTTGTTTTTAATATTAAATTTAAGTGTTTCTGTGTCATTAGGCCACGGCCATGGCAGCAGATAAACAAGGCGGACTAATTCAAAATGATTGTAAAATCCAGCCTGTTCATCCACATGTCCATTCTGGACTGCTAGAATAAACCAGTAGAAGAATAAACCCAGTTGGCAGTAACATAGGTAGAATTTAGTCTGCTGTGGCTCAAGATCTGTCCATTATATTCCTACAGGGAAGAATAAGTTATTTCTCTTTTTAGACAGACAGAAGCCCTACCCACTGGATTGCTCCCTGAATGCCCACACAACTGGATCTGGACCAGACCAAGGGCCAGGATCCAGGAACTTAGTCCAGGACTGCTAGGTGAGTGGCAGGGGCCCAAACACTTGATAGCCATCACCTGCTCCCTCCCAGAATGTCCATTGGCTGGAAAACTGGAGCTGGAACTCAAATTCAGACCTGAGAGTGGGTTGTGAGTTTCTCGGCTGGATAACCATCCCAGTTAGCGTCTTTTGAGATCCATACCGCCACCCTGTGCACCTAGATAAAGGACTTCAACAGTCCATACTCTATAAAGGAGGCTTCTTGAAAGTAGGTCATTAACATTATACCACACAATACTAAGTTGATCAAAGATTTTTTTGAACATCGCACTCCCAGTAGATAAAGTCTACGTATACAACCTGAGGCTGGGAGGCTGCATTTATTGGAAAAAAAAAAACTCCAGCTTAAAATTATCTCCAACTTGTTGAAAGAAACTCTCTGGTATTCCTAATTAACTCTAGAAGTTAGTTGGAAAGCATAAACTAATGGAAGTATATCTCTTAATTTTAAAAAAGCCACTAACCCTCCTGCTAAGTACATCTCTCATCTGTCCCCAGCACAAAGATCAAACTGACCAGAATCAGACAACAAGCAGCAGACAGTAGCTGAGCAACCTGCTTCCCATAAATTGACACCAGGCCAGTAGAGCCTTCAAATGAACCTGCAGCTAGTTCAGACTTGGAGAACCCTCTTTGCTATTATTTTCTTCCTCTGTGTTACTGGATTGTCCATGTCCCTTTGCCCAACTTTTCTACAGCATTACAATTATTCATTCTCTTTCTTTGACTATTAGAACCCAATCTTTAGAGTCCCTTGTGTATGTAGCCCTGAGTGGCCAAATTGTCTTAGGTTACTGCCTTCCTGTACAACACACTATTTGTGCTATCACAGATAACTTGTGCTATACTTGGATAAATACTTGTAGCTAGATTGAATTGGAAACTTCCAAAATCTTGACAGAATGTATAAGTCCGTAAAAGGAGTTCCCTCAAAAGGATCCTTTCATATGTTGTTAGCTGACTGCCCTTGGGCATTTCTTTCCTCTTATGTTGTGGCCTACTGATCATCCTACTAGGACTAAAGATTTAACTTCTTTTTAAGATCCCTTAACAAATGCATGCAAGAGATCCACAAGACCAACCAGCAACCAGAACAACTTACTCCAAGAGACCTTGTTTCCGCTTTCGCATACAGGCTCCTGCTCTGGCCTGGGGCTGTTACAGGTATTTAGAGAGTGATCCAGTAGATATGAATACTCTGTCCATCTGTGTACCTCAATAATAAATACAATTGTTTTAAATAAAAAATCTAAAAAAGTAACTAGTGAGCTTTTAAAACAAAATGCCAGGGAAAGTAAATGATTGACCAGGCTATACATGGAATATTCTGCCTTTTGCAGCGGTTCACATAAACTTAAGAGCCAATAGTCTGAATTGAAATAACTGATCTGGTTTTATTGGTCAGATGTTTGCTTATATTGTTATACCAGTTAACTTAAGTATTGAGACTTCAGTGTCGTTGTGACATCGTTTCAAAATTTTACACATGAATTGATTCTTTATAAGCATAGACCTCTTGTAAGAAAAAAAAGTGCCAGCTTTAATGGCATAGCAAGTAGAGTGGACACCTGGGATGCTGGCATCCCATCTGGGTGCTGGTTTGTGTCTTGCTGCTCCACTTCCAAACCAACTTCCTGTTAGTGACCTGGGAATTGCAGTGAAAAATTGCCAAAGTGTTTTGGCCCCTGCCAGCCATGTGGGAGACTTGGATGAAGTCTAGCTTCTGGCTTCACTTCCCATGGTTGGGACAGCCGGAAGCCAGAGAGAGTTACAGAGATGCAAGATGGAAGATCAATCTTTGTCTTTCATCTCTAACTCTTTCTCATGAAAGATTATTTTAAAACAGAAAAAGCAGGAATCAAACAATGCTGTTAGACATTAAAAAACAAAAGTCAGCCAGTTGCCATAGTTTGTATGTGGTTTGTCCTCCCTTGCTCCTCAGTGTAGTGCTTATATAGGTGGTGAGGCCATTTGAAGAGATAGGACCCCATAGCAGAAAGCAGGAACAGTCCATACTCTTTGGCTTCTTTTTTTAGTGTTATGATCTCCATTTTAATGCTCCCTCCATTAACGCCTTCACCAGAGCCAGTCTGATGGAGGTGCCATGACCATGAACCCCCAGCACTGTGAGCTGGATAAGTTAGTTTTCTGTGTAAAGCAGCTTACCTCAGATATGTTATTACAATGAAAAATGGTTTAATATGCCAGCTATACATGTAAAAAAATGCTTAATTTGAAGAAATATAGTTTTTTTCCTGTAGTTTTAAATATCATGAGAGCAATCTTATATGGCATATAGTTAAATACAAATTATAAAATACTTGAGTTAGACTTTTACCATTTATTTGCATTATATCATGCCTCAGTTTCTGTACACACTATTTTAAAGTAATGACAGAAATGTCAGGAGAATTACATAATAATCCCGTTTAAACTGATTTTTTTTGAATTACATAAAAGCAAAACTGGGATTGGATTACAATTTTTTTCTGAAATCCATTAACAATACTGAGAAGTTAGCATTTTTGAAGTAAAGTTCTCTAAGCTATTGGTGGTAATTATTGACATGGAATCTCCTAATGAATTGTCACTTTCAGGAGATAACTGGTAAAGTTATGTATATTTCAGAGCAATAATTACAATGTTCTGGAATTCATGCCTACCTATAAAGAGGTTCTCATTAATTTACCAGATAATGCCTGTGACTTTCTCCCTTTGCTGATCCTGTTTAAATTTCTGTTTGACATTTTTCTACAAAGGATTTAGTGTGAAATATATACTGGTTGTTCCCTTTTAGCAAAGAAAAGTTTAGTGTTAAAAGAACAGTCTACTAGATTTTTTGTAAATTAAGCGAGTAATATTTTCCCACTTTTTCAATATGTTGTTTGATAACTTCCTACGGTGTCTGGGATTAAAGAAAACAATTTTTAAAAGAATAAAGCAGCCACTTATATACAGTAAAGTGTGTGCGTAAATAGGTTTGCCAGGGTGATGATTCTGAGACAGTTCCTCAGCGTTTTCATTCTGGAAATGTGATGTAATAAAGTTCTTAACTGAGTTTCACATGCTTTTCAAATACCAGTTTTCTAGTTTTATTGACTTATTTTTACTGTAGTAGAATGTATTTAGCAAAGTTTACTGTTTAATCATTTCTCAGTTCACAATTCAGTGGGGTAAGTAGATTTGTAGTGTTTTGGAATAGTGATTATTGTATTTAGGAGGTAAATTTAACATGAGCAAAAATGTATTATATTTCTTTTTGAGGGTATATAACAGTCCACTGTATTGTTCAAACTTTTTTTATATATAATTGTCAATACTCTGGCAACTGTTTTTGACCATTTAAGTGAGCTTTCAAGTAACATAAATACATTTTAATATGTCATGGAATTAAAAACATAAATATAAGTGAGCTTCCAAATGAGCAATTGTATATATGCAACGTCAGTGATAACTTCTCTTACCTTGGTGTTTACTGGGGCTCTAGAAATAACTTAAGATGTTGGCTGTGCAGTAACTGTTTCAATGCCAGTGACTTTGTTCTCTTTTCTGTTACAGATCCAGACTTTACCTACCTAGGAGGTATTTTAAATCCCATCCCAGGTTTAGTATATTACCTCTTTCTCCCTGTGACTTTTTGAATCAGTCTTATTTTCCTTTCAACATCATTCATTTATTTCTTCTAGATTGCCAGTTTGAGCTCTCAGGAGCTGATGGAATAGTACGTTCTAGTCAGGTGGAACAAGAAGAAAAAACAAAACCTGGCCAAGCAGTTGATTGCATATGGACAATTAAGGCCACTCCAAAAGCTAAGGTATTACTGTCTGACGGGTCACCTCAGAGGACATGTGTAATGAGATAGTTTGTTAGATATATTGTTTCAGTTTGTGCCAAAAAGATCATCATTATACAATCTGATACTAAGCATTAAAACCTTGACACTTTTGAGGGTGCTATTAAGATTCATGTTTTATTTAAATAAACTGAAATGTAAAGTTCAGGAGCATTATACATATGTTAAATGTATTCATCTTAAAAGACTAAGATTCTTAAAATCTGTGAATTCATGATTGGTGAGTGCGGCTATTGATCAGTGGGATTCATAAAAACCTTATTTTATAAGGACGCAAAAGCTGCAAGAAGTTAAAGTAACCTGTCAAAGATCACACAGTGACCCTAGCAGTGTAAAACACAAACTTGTTGAGAATTAGTTCTCTTTTCTTACTGTGGCACACTCTGCTAACCATGGAGAGCTGTATTGGAAAGTACTGCAGAGAAGAATGTTTTTAAATAACTCTGACAGCTTGAGATTGCTTGCTAACTGCTTTTGCTTTCTGCCTTTAATTTATTCTAGGGAAATCAATGGAATTAAAATTACACTTAATGTATATGTGTATGAAAATAGGAAAAAGAAAAGAGAGTGGGAGAACATACCCTGAAAGTCAGCTCTACAGTCCTGATAAATACTGTAGATTAAATACCCAGAAAACTTAGCTGTTAAAAAGAAACAGAAAACATTGAGTAAATGTCCCTTTAGAATCATATGTATACTCCAAAAATGAACAAAGACAGCTATAAATTAGCATTTATGTTGATGATTCAGATTACCTTGGCTGATTTCAGTAACCTGTTACTGCCAGAGGGTGATGTGCCAAGTTCTAACCACACACTGAAAAAAAAGGTGTAGGGTTTCTGTGAACCTCTGAGACTTCTTCACATAAAGCTGGAATCTGCAAAGTAGAACATGAAAGGATAGAACACAAAAAAAGATACCCACTATGACAATTTGATGCCAGATTTGTTTTCTTGGGCCTGTATAAAAGATAACTAGTTAGGCTGGCATCTCCCTTAAGACTTTATACCTAGACCTAACCTTTATCAACATATGGGATATAATTTTACATCAATAGAAGGCAAGCAGGCTGACAACCCAAAATTTGCAGAATCTCTTTTCATAACCCACCATGAAGAAGAGTTAACAGAAGTTTCTCAGATTATCCAAGAACTTAAAGAGTTTTCAGTGTCTAAGGGGGAAAAAATGAAGGTAGCGAGAACTTCCATACATTATAGTTATTGGGCAACTCTTCCCATTCATTTCCCCTCCTGACTGTAGCAGGATGTTTCTTGCAAAGTATGTTACTGAAAAATACATCTGAGGATATTACCCAAAATATAGTGCTAGGAGGGAGTGATAGGTTTTTGTTTTGTTTTGCTGTTACTAGAAAATATTTCAAGATTTGATTAATGACATGACAAATAAGGACTCCAGGCAAGTGAAAAAAAGGTTTTTAAGTGATACCTTCTTACATTGAAACCCAAGGCAGACACATTCTTAAAACAAGCAGAGTGGAAAAAAAGATTTTCTCAAAGGGATAATTCTAAGATTGACACCCAAAAGTATCAGTAGCATAATGGAAACCCTGGGGTTGTTATGTGGCTTGGTGAGTAAAGCTGACACCTGCAGCACCAGCATCCCAAATGGCTGCTGGTTCTACACAGGCTACTCCACTGGAGATCCAATGCCTGGGAAAAACAGCAGCAGGTGGCCCCTGCCAACCATGTGGGAGACTCGGGTGACGCTCCTGGATTCCACCTGGCTCTGTGCTGCCTGTTGCAGCCGTTTCAGAGAGTGAACCAATAGATGAAAGAACCATCTCTGTAACTGTGAAAACACCTTTTCTGAAAAATGGAAGCCTAAAAACAACAGAAGACTGTTTTGAAGTGTTTAGAGAAAAATTATTTCTTTATCTAAATTTCCATAACCTACTAGCCTCGCTGAAAACAAGGGTATTTCTGAGGAAAAAAATAATAAATGAATAAAATGCTAAGATAAAAATTCAGATGTATCCTGTTTATAGGAAAATTTGAAAGTAAAAAAAAAATAGAATAGGAATACCAGGCAGGTATCAAAAGAGAGCTGATACAACTATTAAAAAATGGAAATCATGAATATCAGTAATTCACAAGGAAGATAAAGTAACTTAAAAGTGTATATACTAATGTATCCTCAAAATACACAAAATATAAATGGATAATCACCAGAATAAATTGAGAAATCTACAGCTACCATGGACAGTTCCTTTACATCAGTAATTAGTAGATCAAGCATAAAAGGAATAGGCACAAAAAATGACACCGTATGGACATGTTACCTTACTCCCTATACATTCTCTACAGCATATGTTAAAACTTTCTTAAAATTGCTCCATGCCCTAGACTATCAAAGAAAGTTTGAACATATATTGATGTTTGTCAGAACAGATTCTGACAATGCAGTTAAAGTGAGAATCAGCAAACCCACATAGACCACAGATGCTTTGAAAATTGAGCCAATATTGGGACTGCCACCCCCACAAAGTGAGACAGAACTTGCTATCCAAACCTCATTTGATTGCCTAGTGAAACAATACAAATAACAAAAATCAGCAGTTTATACAGTCTTGGCACAATCCTCAACTCACAAATGACATTCAAGCTGTCTGAGACTCTTAACTCCACTTTTTATGCCATAACAGGAGATCAGAAGCTAGGTAATGTATAGAGTATTTGTGTCGGCTGTGGAGGCTGGAAGTCAAAGAGCATAACCCTCCTGGTTAGGAGGCGCTTAAACTGCATAACAGGGAGGATGGCATAGTGGGGGGGGGGGTGAGAAGACAATGACATTCATGCTGACAGGTGGGGCAAGAGAGACACGGGGGCCATGATTGTTCATTTCCCAAAAACTCTGAGAATTAGGAGGTGTCCTAAGAGATTTGCATCAATTTTTACCAGGAGCCACATCATATAATGACTTAGTCATCATCCATCCACTAGCTCTCACCTCTGGAACATTCTACTATCTATCAACATTGCTACACTAAGGACAGAGCTTATGACATATGAACATGTGGGGGACTTACTCAAACTGTGTAAACTGTAGTACCCAATGCAAGCAAAACTACAGCACAAACAGGTGTTTAGCCTAGCAGTTAACATACCCACATCCCACTTTAGAATGGCTGAGTTCAATTCCCATTTCTGGCTCTAGACTGCAGCTTCTCACCAACACAGATCCTGGAAGGTGGTGGTGGTGTTTCAAATAATGGAGTCCCTGTAACTCACATAGGAAGCCTGGATTGCCTCCCTAGCTCCCAGATCTGACTGCAGCTGTTAGAACCGTTTGATCAGTGAACTGATAGATGAAGGCACTTGTACTTGGATGCTCCCTTTCAAATTTCCAGAAAATTCTTATTCAACCAAAGACCAGGAAAATCTGGTCAATTCCTAAATGAAAAACACTCTGCAGATCACAGTGCTAACAGGATCCAGTTAAACAGAGTGTCAAAAACTTTTAAAGCATCAGTAGAACTACTTTGTAAGGTAAAGGTAAACCTGACAAGAGTGCAGCAGCATAGAAATCCAGCTACAAAGACTGGCATTGTTGCATAGCGGGCAGAGGTACCAACTGCAACATCAGCATTCCATGCACACGTCGGTTCGTGTCCCAGATGCTCTGCCTTTCTGATCTGGCTCCCTGACAATGTCCTGGGAACATGACCCAATCACTGATGTGGGAGACAATGAAGCTGGCGTTGGCCTGTCCCGTGCTTAGCTGTCACAGCCATGTGGAGAGTGACCCAATGGATAAAACATGCCTGTTTTTCTCTCTACCTCTCTCTCTCTTCAGTACCTCTCTCATATAAATAATTTTATTTTTCTTGAGGGGACCTGTGAAGCCACAAAAAAAAGAAGAGTAGAAATTTTCAACTAAAAGGAAAAATATATGAAGATTTTTAATAAGTATTCTCTATAGGCACCACAGCTGATTGGAGATGAGAGGAGGTATACTTAAAAATCAGTCAGTAGGAATTAATCTGAAGTTTAAAAAAAGATTAAAAACAAATTGAGCTTCAAGAACCTCATTAAGCAGTTTCAGAAAGTCTAATGTTTGTATCATTTACATCGTAGGAGAAGAAAACATTGGTAAAGAAGAAGCATTTTAAAAATAACAGCTTTTGCTCAGAAGTCAGATGACTTATGTGAAATGGACAAATTCTTCAAAAGGTACACTGTCCAGACATTTTCAGAAATACATAACTTGAATCATCCTATACTTATCCAAAACAGCAGATTCGTAGTTAGAGACCTAATAAAATGCCAAGGCTGAGTGGATTCACTAGCAGATTGTTCTGAAAATTTAAGGAAGATAGAGTGTGTGTTTTTCACACACTTCAGGAAATGAAATAGGTACACTTCCAAGTTTGTCAGACACATATTACTAATACCACAAGTAAAATGTAAAAAAATTGATCAGCATTCAAGAAAATATATGCGAAAACCCTCAATATACTAGCAACAGCTAGTCAAGCAATATCTAAAACATCCATCACAACCACTTTGATTTAGTTCAGAAAAAGCAAGGCTGGTTCAAAATTTGAAAATTTAGTATAATTTACCTTGTAAAAGACTAGAAAATTATTTTTTCACTTATTTAAATTTAATACTCACTCATGACCAAAACCTCAGGAAAAGTTTAACAGAGGACTAATCAACTATCCACAAATCCTACTAACCAGTGGCTGTCACAATATGTTGTGATGAAAGCTCGAATTCCTTCCCCTTCAAAACAGCAAGGTTACTTCTGTTCAACACCACATTAGAAGTTGCAGCTGTGGGTACAATATTGTGGCATAGGTAGATTAACCTCTCCCTGGATAACTGGAATCCTGGTTTTAGTCCTACCTGCTCCACTTCTGATCCAGCTCATACTGATAGGCCTGAGAAACCCGCAGAGGATGGTCCAAGGAGTTGGGTACCTGCTCCCCCATGTCAGAG